CAAAGCAAAATTAGTCTCTCTTTTCTATTGGATTTCGTCGTTTCAATCGAATTCCACGACGCTGTTTCTTTGCTTCTCTCATAATGCTTTCAATTTACATCTCTCGCCGTGGTGCTTAATTTAATAACAATCTCGCATCACGATGTAATATTTCCAGTTCAAATATCGATCATTGTTTAATTTCACTATGCAAAATAAAAACACAAATATATACGTGATAATATAAAAATCCCTACTTGCTTTCAAATGAAAAAAGTTCTAGATGTCGTTATTTACCGATTCAATCGAGACTTTAGAGAGAAAAAAGTCTCTATATATAATCATCTCGATCAATGCGAAACATGATTTACTAATTACGGAACTTTTATACCTTTTATCTTGTCTATCCTGTTTGTTGCTGGTTTATTTTATATTACGTCGTATGAAAATTATAATATATCGTCGTACAGTGTTATCGATCGACTTTCGTAGTTTGTGTGCCTGTAATCTTACGACGTACGATACGCGTACGTGATTTTTCAGTGTCAGTATTTTACCCAGTGTCGCTGATCAGCAATTGGTAATTAAAATGAAATAAAACGTACGAATCCCGACGAAACGACGTAGCGTTATCGTCGCTTTTCGTATTACGAATTCGTTGGATGAATTTTTTTCAGACGTTCACGTCGAAAATTCACGTTCACATAACCTCTTTGTCGAGTAATTACTCGTACGAAAACGAATTTTGCAAGGTTCGACGTTTGGAAAGAATTCACATTGTGAAATTATAACCAACGATTTCAATCAATGTTCGTAGTGATTCTTCGACAAGTAGTTGCAAAGTAAACTATTACAATTTACGTTCAGTCCTGACGCGTACAACGACGATAACTTGCTCTTAAGAGCAAGAAGCAAAAAGAAAAAAAGAAAAGAAAGAGAAAGAGAATGTAATTTCCTCGAAGGAGAGGAATGCAAAATTTATAACGATATCAATATCGCTGTACGACTTTGATAAATTTGAACGCGATTCAACGATACGTATATTCCGCTACTTTGAAGAAACGTTTGTTTCAAACATTTGTATTTATACGTGTCGCAGGTTAGTCCGATAAGCGTTAGAAGAAAAACAGGATCGTCGCATCGAGCATCATGTTTGGGCAGTCTGGAAATACATCGTTTAGTAAGTAGTAGTAGTAGTAGTTTGGTAAAACGAATTGCATTTGTTCCCTTTGGCGCCTACATGTTCATGCAATCGTTACCTTCGCGCAGGTGGTTTTAACACGGCGACACAGTCTAGTCCGTTCGGGCAATCGGCATTTGGTAAACCAATCACTACGACGAGTTTCGGTACTGGCGCGGCACCAGTCTTTGGCAGTAGTAACACTTCTCTCTTCAGTTCAAAGCCTGCAGGCTCCACAACTGGCGGCTTGTTCGGCAGTACTACAACTCCGCCTGCATTTACTCAACCGTCTTTCGGAGGTAGAGCACAGAGCTCGTACATGGTTCCTCTAGTCATGGTTCTGCTCAGTCATGTCACGATTTTCAAGCATTTATCCATTTTATTTAAATTTAAAGATTTATTTCCGCGTACACGCGTCGCAATGAAATTTCTCCTTTCTACAGGGTTTGGCACGACGAGTACAAATACCCATTTATTCGGCACTCAACAAAATGCAAGTACAAATCTTTTTGGTACAAATACCGCAACATCAGCGTTTGGTCAATCGAGCAAGCCAGCTGGATTTGGTTTCGGTACTACGTCCGGTACAAGTCTGTTTGGCCAACCTCAACAGTCGACTCAACAAACTACTCCTTTCGGACAAAGCAGTACCACTGGAAATACAACTTTATTCGGTACAACGCCCGGTACGTTGCATCTTGCAAAAATGTTGCGATCAAAAAAGTATAAACTATTAACTATTTCGTTATTCTCTTCCCCTTTTTCCATTTTCCAGGTTTTGGCAATGCAAACACCACGACCACTAGTATGACCGGTACCGTCGTTAAATTTACCCCCGTCATCACTACCGATTCCATGTCCAAAAACGGTATATCTCACACCATATCGGCGAGGCATTGTTGCATCGCGTCAATGAAAGAGTACGAGACAAAGTCTTACGAAGAGTTACGTTTCGAAGATTATTCCGTGGGACGAAAAGGTAAGTGGGCTGTCTACGCTACGTCGTCTACGATTAAACAGAAGCGTTACATTTTTCACGTTTTTACTCGACGTGTACGTACGACGTCGTACGATATCATCGAAAATGACTTGTAAGATGGCTGTAAACTTGTGCGTGCGTGCGTGCGTGCGTGCGTGC